TTGTTTCTACATCGTCATCAGTGTTTGGTTATTCTAATCCCATTCTTTTGCTAGACACTGTAGTGCAACACCCATGTCAACACTGTGGCACACACACATACGAGGCACTGAAACCGTCTCTTAGAAAGCACACAGTCATAAACCTCCGGCGCTGCGTGTGATTGTGTCTTCTCCGTGAAGACCTGCGTGTCTCGGAGGCTGTTTGGGACTTCATGTGAGAGATATTCAGGGAGACAAACTGCAGTTGCTAAATTGGGTGGTTATGTAATCATCTGTTTCTGCCTCTCATTGCCATTGCCTCAGCAAATTCATCCTCATCACATCAACGTAGTAGTCATAACGTTTCTTCTACTTCTACATTTCTTTCTGCGACATATCCTTTTGTTTTGGTGATGTCCTAACAGGAAATGGCTGTGTCTTTTTAATTTCTTAAGTTTACAGGTGCCTGTGATGTCCTCAACAAGAGAGGCACAAATTTGAGTTTGCAGGAGAATGCAGGACATCGTCTCATCTCAAAATCCATCATTCTCCACCACAAAGAGAGTTTACAAAACAAAATAACAACACAGTTTTGATGTAGATCTTTCAACCTTCATATTATTTGTCTCTCTCTCTCGTTCTCTCTCTCTCTCTCTCTCTCTCTCTCTCTCTCTCTCTTTCCATCTCTCTGGTGTTGGGTGGTGAAGGCTCTCAGTTGCTACCGAGAGCCTTCTGCCCGCGGTAGCAACTTCCACAACGAAGAGTATTGCTGTCAGCACAACCTGGTACCATTGTTTTGGGAAACTACAAAAAAACCCTAAACCATGCAAGAGGCCCACCTTAAGAATTTGGTTGACTAATGCGAAGCGTATTTGATTTTTTTTTCTTCAAACATAGATTTGGAAACAACTACTTTTGAATGTTTCTTAAGTCTTAACATATTTTTTAGGAAAGACACTTCTAGAGCTGTATCTAAGCGGTTTATTTATTTATCATACTGCTTATTCATTGTCCCTAAATGTAGACAGTAAGGTACTGGTACCTCTCAGATGAGGTTTTTTTTTTTTTTTTACTCATTTGTTTCTTTTGATTGTTCATGTTTCGTTAACCTTTTAAAGTTTTGAAGTAACCGGTCAGAGGCTTGGAACCACCTCTTATTTAAGTGAGAATCGTTTGAAGGTGCTTGCTTGAGCAAGGCCCGAGATCCAAATGTTGCTCAGTTAAATCTCCGAGTTCTGCCAGCTTTGGGAAATGTTGTCTTTTTGTGTTTGTTGATCGGAAAAAGATTGCAACTTTGACTCTGCGGTTATCCCCTTGCTGGCCATGCCTGATCAAACTGTCACTAATCAATTGGAGAGTTCCTAGTAGGTCTCCAGAGCGAGCCCTTTTCCAGAACGAAAGGCGAAACGCACGACGTCAACCGAGACATATCCCGACGCGACCTCGTTCTTCGCCGTCTTCAAAATCCCTGCCTCTTGTCTGTGGCACCTGTTGAGCAGTGACAGGCCCGTCTGGCTACAGCGTATCGCCGAGCCATCTGCTGACGCCTGCTTTCAGCACCACGGACAGCACGTCGTCACAACTGAGCAAAACAAAGAACGGAGAGGAAATACAGGAACAGGAGACAGTACCTTATGGCAAATTAAAAAAAAAAAACAGAGATAGGTGAAGGGAAAGGGTAGGAGGGGGCAGTAGAGAGAAAGAGAGAGATTTGTCCATGTCATTAGGGATTAGCCTAGTTTGACTGCTTGAGGCTGTCAGTGTCTGAGTGCTCTTGTCCTCAAATAAACACACGCAGGCATCCAGATGCACAGTATGGTTCCTTCTTACAGATAGATAGATAGATAGATAGATTTTATCTCCTACTTTCCACATTCCCCCACTGCACGCACCCCAATATGCTCACTTGCAACCAAAAATGTTTTTAATTATTTATGTCAGCATTTTTTTTTTCTTTTCTTTTAAGTTGGGCATCTCGCTGTACAAGCAGTACAGTTGCCTGCCTGCCTGCTGCAGCTACAGTCCGCTGGGAGAAGCGACACCCACCCTCAACTCTTTCCTCCTTTCTCTTCCGCAAAGAAACATCACTTTTGGGTGGGGTGTAGTGTAATAACGGGAAGGGACAATTCCCCGACAATTCCCTGCCGCTAAACAGCGCAGGCTCGCACTGTTTCCGTCGAGTTTATGCGCCACCCCCCTTATGAAGAGAAAGAAAGAAAGAAAGAAAAAAAAGGAAAACTGCACAAAGGAAGATGGGAAAACAGCCGTGTAGGGAGACGACGAGGGGAGATGGTGGTAGAGGTAGCAGCTAAGTTTAGGAAAAGCGTCGTCGCTGGGTGAGGGTGTGCGGGAGAGAAGTGGAGGTAAAACACTCACTGTGCCGCGGCCGGATTAAAGGATGCCCATGTCGGATGCTGCAGTCGGTCGCCAACATCAGCAGCAGGAGCAGCAGCAGCATCTCCGGGCTGCTTGCGCGGCGCATCAGCGGGAGGCAGTGCAGGATGGGGGGGGGGGGGGGTAGAGAGGAGGAGGGAAGGAGCGAGGGATGTGGGGAGGGTGAGGCCGATGATGTAAAACGGTTTAAATCATTCAGGACGCCGCGCGAAGGCAGACGCGGCGCAACACGCATCCGGTTTGTTTTCCTGTCCGGACAGGATGTCGTAGTTTCGGCCCCACCCCTCCCTCTTCCCCATCCCGTGATTTTACGAAGATCCGGCAATGACACAAAGTAACGTCGTCATAATTTGGACCAGGATTAAAAACAACGCTTTTTTTTTTTTTTTTTTTGCTAACCTAGTAAAGCTTAAGTTAGTTTTTACACCAACAAAGTTATGACTTTAATTCAGCATAATACAGTAAGTTTTCAATATTATTTATTATTTAAAAAACAGGTTAAAGACAAAAACGTTTAAAAATGACACGACTAAAGTTGAAAGACCAACCAACTGGATTATTAAATTACTAAATATTTGGGTTAAAGAGTCATTTTTCAGGTTTCATTATGAGAACATGTGTCAGAATAAAGACACTATAATGTCAGCAAAGGCAGGTATTTTTTCCTCACACTTTATAAATATAGTATATTGCATGTCTGTTTTGGCTTTATGGCCAATTCAATAAGCTACAAATGATTCCTTTCACTTCCCAATCATACATTGCGTTGTGCTGCTGGTCTGACAGATATCATTGCGATAAAATAAATTAGAGTTTCAAGTTGTAACATGACAGAACGTAGTGAGGTTTTACTTAAAGTGTAAACCGAAATTTCCAAGAATCTGAGCTGTTTGCTCCCACTGAGGCGGTGCTGTTCTGCGAACATGTCACTTGGTTTGCACTTGTAGGGAAGAAATCAATAAATTGTAAAACCGTCACAAATGACTTTCCTTTAAATCACCCTGCCCCAGCAAGGGAGGTGGAACCGGTCAGTCGGACAAGTTATCAGGCATTTTCTGGTCATTTTCCACAGAAGAAGTGGCTTAAGGACATCTTAAAGTGCATCACTGGTGTTTAATACACCATGGTTAAAGACCTTCACTGTTTGTCTCCAACGGCAGAGAGAGAGAGAGAGATGCAAAAGCCAACTGCTAAATTATTTATCCTGTGCTGGTGAATGATCAAATATTCAGCAGTTGACTAGGTTTTCTCCTTTTTTTATTGCCACAGAAAGCCCATTTATGTCAGCTGCAACGGGAGCATTCATGGATCCAGAGAGAAAAGGTAGAGAAAAAAAAATATCTATAAAGATTTACTTTGATCCATTATGTCTGGTGGCAAGATTTACACTCAAAGACAGTTTAAGCAAAATACCACAACCACAAACTCTGCTCAATATTCATAATTTATGCTCAGAACCCAAATGAAAGTATGGAAGCCTATTTCTGCCATTGTCATACAAAAAATAAAAGGACCTTAAATGCACAAAAATGACTATGCCTCCAAACCATTTAGGAATGCGATAATGTGAGGATGTCGAAGAGCCAAAAAAAAAAAAAAAAGACGAAAGTGCAGGAGATTGAAGTTGAAGTGTTAAATGATTGGATGTTTGTATTTATGTATTCTGTTACACAAGTCACTTTCCATAGCTTTAAAGAACCTATACTTAGTTCAATTCGGAAGCTGGATACAGGATATGCACACCCCTATTTCAAGGGGTGTGCATATCCTGAGGAAAAACATCTGTCGGGAACATTAAGTGAAGTTTCACTTGGTGAAGTTTCACTTGGTAAAATCTGACTCTTTTAATGCAAAGTTGACATTTTAATGGACTTTTAATGCACATTTTAATAGAATTTTGCATGGAAAGGATCATTATTGTCTGAATAATGCAACATTTACACTTTTAATTGACTTTTAATTGCAAAGTTGCAACTTTTAGAGCAACTTTGCATTAATAGTGTCATTATTTACCAGATGACACTTCATGACAACAATTGTAAACATTCATGAAGACTCCTTCATGTTCCTAACAGGTGCTGTGACATGTTTATGACAGTGTCATGTCAGTCTGTTGCACAGCCCTTCAAATAAAGTGTTACCAAAACATTTGATCAAACTGATTAAGGTATTGCCTAAGCTTCGCTTAAATGCTTAAGAATGAGGTGAGTTACATTTTGACTAATCTTTTGTGCGTGTTGAGGTCATGAACACCGTTGTGGTTGCTGCTTCCATTTTTTTTTTTTTCCACCTCAGCTCCCACTGCTTTCTCTTTCACTGCTAAATGTCAGCTACCCTGTGGTCCGGCTGCGATGTGAGTCTGGGGCTTTCTGGGAGAGCACGTGTCTGCGTATTAGAGAGGGAGGCATGAGTCACCAACACGGCGCCCCAAGCAGCGAGACAGATGTGTGAGCAAAGTGTCACTACCCATAATTCAGAGAAATTTGATGAGGTCATTTGACTGCAGGGCCGGAGTGAACCCTCATTTCTGTCAGATTTGGTGCAAATAAATAGCATCTTGATGAATGTGTGTTACATGTCATCATGGGAATGTCTCCTACATTAACTGATGCATATATATATATATATATATATATATATATATATTTTTATTTTTTTTTTTTTAAGGGTTGATTGATGGCTTCGACTATCTTAAATGACATCCAAAAATAAGAATCTGATCTGTAAGTTTGAGTTTGTTGAAATATTTTTTTTGTTGTTGTTTTTTTTACATGCAACTGTGGTTAAAAGTATGTATGCATAAGCTCACCGATATTTGACCACCCATCAGACATTTGCAGAGAAGTTGCACACCTTTTGCAGCTGAATAAGCTTTTCTGCACAGTTCTGGCCTCATGTCTAATCACTCTTAATTCAAGAAATGGAGGAATTTATTTAAATCAATTGATTTCTTGTCATGATCCTGTCTTTTAAGAATACTTCACAGATTTTCAATTCAACTGCAGTTTAGATTTCGGGACAGTTTTGTCCATGTTTTTATAATCCGATAGACCCCCTTAACCCCCAAATTGGTGCTTCTGCACCCAATTCTTGTCTTAAATTCCTTGAAATGTGTTATTTAGGCAATTATATAACAGTTCAAATCCATTTCTTAAGGGTGAAACAATAGATATATATTGACGGTATGTATAGGAATCTTTTGAACAGAAAAGAGTAAAAAAAAAAAGAAATTCTATTACATTTTCCTTCTTTGAATGTGAATGTATTAGATTGAAAGACTCTCATGTTTCTTCCTAATAACAAAACTGCCTGCTCATATTTCATCCTAATAAATCCTCCACGCTCACACTCTATGAAAACTTTATATTCAGCTCAGTCTTCTCTCCTCCATCTGCGTCGGTCTGCTTTGGTTTGCCTTAACAGACATGTATTATTCACTGAAACCTCCAGAAGTGCTCTTCCTACACTCGCCGAGTGAAGCCAGGAGGACAGAAGCCTTTGAACAAAGGAGCCAAAGCAAAAAAAAAAAAAAAAAAAAACAAAAGATCGCAGACAGACACCAAGTGAAAAGTGAATGTTGGAGAAATGGGTAAGGTGTCGAGACAAGAACGATAAGAGAGAGTGACAGCGTCAAAAGTCGCAGAACTAACAGCACAAACAGAGCGAGATGTAAAACGGATGATAAAATAAAGGAAGAAAGGAAGGAAACACGGAGCGTGACTGTCTGATGTACTTTTGAACCGCTTCGATGAGAGGCTGCACAAGAACACAGCAGTTCTCTCTTACTTGAACTTTTTTTTTTTATCTCTTTCCATCTGTACACTACAGAAAGAGATTTTTTTTTTTTTTTGTTTGCTTGTTTCATCAAAACAGGACTCAGGAGTTGGGATGTTGTGGTCCTGTAGTGGTTGCCGTCTTCTTATCTGCTGTTTCCTGATTCCCCACGAGCATCTATCTGGAACGTCCCTGACCTTCAGGCCACGTATACAACTGCAAATTGTGAACGCAAACACGTTAGCGATAGCATGTTAGCCTTGTTACTAGTAAACAAGTTGATACCAATGCTGTTCCTTCTTGGATTTATTTTAAAATTAAGTTTTCCAAACCGTCACTGGTTTGCTTGGCTACTCTACTGCAGTCAACACGCAAACATGCTGAACTCTACTCTTGTTAAGTCTGTGCAAATTGAATTTTACAGGGCCGTGGTCAACAAAAGCAAAAAATAAATAAAATAAAAGCCTAGAGGCTCACATGAAGAGGTGCCATTAAACGCTGCGGTTTGTCAGGTCTTTTTTTGTTTTTTTTTTAGGCATGGTGACCTCAAACCCATGATCCTCTTCGGTCTTTGAGGTTGTTTTTCACCCACCCACAGGTGTTCACTCCACGCATCGGGCATTTGCTGCTATTGGAGCAAAATGTCAAGCAAAAACACGTAAACACATGAAATAGGACAAATAAACAACTTCATCTGTCAGCAGTGCAGACCGTGCTCTTGGGCAGGTTTTAGAACTATTCCTCTGCTGATGAGCTCTTCACATTTTCAATAAGGACGGATTCTGTCTTTTAAGGGGAATCATTATTCAGCTATGTGTGCGCGCGCAGGTGTGTGTGTGTGTGTGACAGGTGTGTGTCTGTGTGCTGGTGTCCATTCTAATTGCCCTCGGCATTCGAGAAAGGTTGATGATCAGTGATACAATGACATATACGGGGCACATTGAGGGGGGTAGCCATGGTAACCGTGTGTGAGGGGGGTTGGAAATGAATGCATTCATGAGTGTGCACAGTTTGTCAACAAACAACCTACTCATGTTTTATGTAACACATGCATTTTTCACTAGTATAAATATATTCCAAAGTCATATTCACATCACTTTAAAAATCTGAAGTTTCAGCACATAACAGGAATTTTTATGTTTTCGATATCTAGACTGAGTTATCGAAGCTTTACTTTATAATGTAGAGACATATAATGAGCTCCTTTGGTGAAAATAGCCTTATACATTTGTGTTTTAGTTAATTTACATCTTATTATAAAATAGTTTTCATATAAAATTGAATAGTTTAATTTTTAAATAAATTGTTTAGGAAATTTAGTTTTCAATTTAACTAAAATGTAGATTTTTTTAAAAAAAAATTTTAAAAAAGTATTTTCTAAAATGTTATTATTTTCTTTTTAAGCAGAAAGAGCAGAATTGGAAACAAAAATAATTAAGATTGATCAGCTTGTTCCAACAGTGTTCGTTTTTCTTCTTTTTTTTTTCTACGCTTTCAAAGTGGCAAATGACAAAACCTTATGACTTCCTGTAGCTGCAGTCAGCAACATGGAGCTCGCTGCGCCTCACGCAGGAACATTTCAATATAATGGATGGCTCAATTGGATTTCAGCTTATTAGTGTCCGTGGGTGTGGCTGTGTCTCATTCATCTGGGGCATTATTTCTCCATGTACTGTCCTCTGTTTAATCTCACTTGGACAAGACTAATGGTCAATGTTCCCGACAAGCTTCCTATTGATTTGATGCTGACACGGTGCGCGCAGGCAGCTGCGTGACGTACGGCCAGCAGGAGAGAAAAATTAGGTGTGAGTGACACAACCATGATTTTTGAATTAAAGGCACTGGGATTGGGTTTGTGTCACAATTGCTGAGATACAGCAGAAATCTTCATGTTGTGTATCCCTTTGTGTACATCTTGGTTACCCACTAACTTTTAAAAACTGATGCTCACTGCGGTTAGCGTGGTTTATTGAAGAGGCAACATTATTTTTCGTAAGTGGGGGTCATTAGACTAGATAGATTTGACTGGAATAGAGCGATTTTGTGTAGAGCTCATCTCAAATATTCAAAAGAAAATGCAACTTGGGAAGGTGAAATACCAACACTTGACACACTACTGGCTGGCATGTGCAAGGCAGCCAATCAAGGGATGCAGCTCTGATTGGCTGCATCCCTAAGAGCGGAGATGAGGAAGACTATAAACTAAGGTGCTCATTTATAGTATTGTATAGTCTTTACTCAACATTGCATGATATTCTTTGGAAATTTGTTGTTAATTTTAGTGCTTGGGGTCATCACTGTTGTTCAAATAGAATACATAAATAAAATGAATAAATAGCTTGTCACATATATTTCCATTTGTTGTCCACCGGTGGACTTGTTAAAGCACTTTTTCTTGTCTTTTTTTTTTAAATATTAATTTCAAATTTAATATTTTTTCATGCCTGGAGACGATTAAAACACTCAAAATGCAACCATGATGTTTCAAAACACTTACCTTAGTTTGTTTTCTATATTTTCCATTTCGACCTTTTAATAGTTTTTGCTCGTTTTCATCTGTCTCTAAGTATCTTCACCCTCTCAGATTACGTATCACCATGGAGACGTAAGCAAAAGAGAGGAGCCGTTATATTTTATTAAAATGTGAATAAAATATTGCTGGTGCCATTCCATCATTCACTCTTATAACAAGTCTGGAATCTCCCTTCCTGTTGTTCACGTCTTTTAATTTTTAATTTTTTTTTTTTCTTGACGTCTCCGTCTCATCCCACTTTCTGCACAGTTTCCATTGCCACGTTGCCATGTTGGACTTAATCCTCCAGTCTCCTTCTGTTGTACCCTCTTCTGTCTCATCATCTTGTTTTCAGATCGCTGAGATAAATATAGACGCCGCTCGCCCCTTTAATGAAATCCACCGAAGGCAAACGTGACTCGATCAGTGTTTAACCTGAGCGATAAGGAAGGGCTCGGCTCCATTCATCATGTGTGCACACAAACACACGTAAACAAGATCTTAGCGCTGATGAACTTCTTTGATTTGCAATAAAACATGGATGTTTCTCGGATCGCTCTGGTCGTTTTAAACCCATGACCTTTACTGTTTTCTATGTTTTGAAGTTGTTTTAATGTTGAACTTACTGGTTTATCTGTTTGTTGTTTAGGAAATAATGGAACAGAAATTTTAATTTTATTTTTAAAAAAGCCATTTTATTTAATATGCATCTTTTAAGAGTGAGACCATCTAGTGAATAGCTCCATAAATTGTAGTAATTTGCTGTAAAGTGCATTAAATGCTTAAGCAGAGACAAGTAGTCAACAGTGCACCTTGTAGGACTTTTTATGCTCCAGTTTCATAATACTCTGTTTAATCCTATTCCCAGCAGCATGAGTAATATGTTCTAAAGAAGTTTAGCTTTTTCATACTGCACTGGTGCAGCACAACTTCCCAGAAACCTGGGACATTTTTGACAAAAAAGAATGTCAAAGTCCAGGATTCTATCTCAGATCTTCCTTGTTAGACATCAGTCAATTTATTTCTGCTTAATTTTCTCCGTTTCCTCTCTTTACCTTTTGGAGTTGCAGTAGTACGCCGCCTTATCCACGCAGGAGTCCATGCCGATTTCATATCCTGCACGAACTCCTGCTGTCGTGTACACATGTGCCTCATTTCCTCTGAGTAACCTGATCACCATGGACGTTGTTTAGAAGCAAAACGTTAATTATCTAAAAAAAAACAACAAAAAAAAACAGTTACTGTAATTATTTATTTTCATGCATCCTTTCTGAGCAAGATTCACACAGTAGCCAAACATTTCTCCTACATGTTAAGAGTAGCAGCAACTTTGTTTTTGTTGTTGTTCATATTTGAGTTAAACAACAACAGATTATATCTGCACAGGTGTAACATTTACTTTAGCTAGTTTTAACCAGCTCAGTGGAAATCTGGGTCAAACCACACTTTAACACAACCACATGAATTACTAATACGAAGCATTTTAGTGACACGGTGGTTAAAAAGAGTGAAGTGTTAATGCCTCCAAAGTTTTATTTTTTTTTTAAATCACAGTTTTGGTCACATGTGGCCAGTCGTGATTTAAAGACACACCGCACTCGCCATGCAGTGCATTTAATTTCCTGGACTGACTGTCGGTTTGTTAGGTTGCTATCGAGGTTTCTGACCCGACGATAAATATCTCTGCACTGCAACAGCAAACCGAGTCAGAATGAGAATGGTGCTGCTGTATGTTATTTTGCTTATTTGCATTGAGACACGCATTGAAGAGAGAACAGAAAAACTAAACCTCCATTACAAAACACAGAAGGCAGACGTTCTTTAGTCGACGACACGTATTACAATGTCAATATAGCGAGGGATCTTTGTTAAATGCTCAGATTTATGCTCAACCAAAAGCAAACACACACACACACACAAAGAGATTGGGTCATTGAACATCTGCCTCCCAGACCCATTTCTATGCGCGAACGGATAAACAGTCCTGTCAGGATCTCTTTACGACCCCTGAAACCAAACCAAGAGTCTTACTTCTGTCTTATTTTCAGCAGCTCTTGTAAACCGTCTTTGTTGCTTTTGTTTTGTTTTGTTTTTTTCTTCCCCTCTGCTTGTAGATGATCCTCTGGTTTATATAGCTACATTTTGTTGCCGTGATTAATCTATATTTACTTTTGCTCATGCAAACCAGAACATCTTATGGCGTTCTCCGTCCAGACGCACGCAGTCGTGGTAGCCAAAGTTTCCTGATGGTTAAAAAACAAAATAGAAAAAATCACTTTTAGGCACATCAACAGACGTGTTGCTCTTCTGGTAGGTGTTCCAGTGTTTTTGAATGTGACCCACATCTCCAGTTGGTCATCTTTACCCCGAGGGGGGTCACGACTGACCCAGTGTTGTTTAGGGAGCAGGAGGAAGGAATTAGAACTGCAGCCCTGCGAGGGTCAGAGGTCAAACTGGGAGCAGCCAAACTCCTAAACTGGATGTTAGGATCACCATCAGTAATTGCTTTGTCCCTCCTGAACCCAACTGCTTTTAGTATTATGTTTCAGAGCTTTTCTACTGGTTTTGCTTCCACTAATTCATGAAAACTCAATATTTTTAATGATCTAAATAATCGAGCTGTTTGTCTGGGTAAGCAGCGAGGCTCCAGTAGCGCCATCACTGGTTATAATGACAACTATGAACTTTAGTATCGCTGATATTAAGAGGATGAAATTTAGCAAACAGCACAATTTAAAAAAAAACAAAAAACATCTCTAGTTTACGACATAAATACAGGAAAATTCTGGCAACCACAGCTACCAGTATTTTACTGTAAATTAGACTTTTGTTTGTTTTTTACAGTACATTATTAAACTAGAATACTGTGATTTGAACCTAAGCATCAGCTCTGGGTTTAAATTAGAGTATTTGTAAATGGTTGTATGACCATCCTTCACCGAACTCAATTTAATAATCAAATATCCACAAGTCAAAGTGTTTAAGTTCGGGAAAAGTCCAGTCATTGGCGTTAAAATCCAAACTGAGTCGAAGGTTTTTTGTGATTCCAAGAGGCCAAGTCTAAAGTCATCAAACTCTTGAATTAAGTCCCAAGTTATGAGACTCAAATCGACACCACCACAAAATAAAAATGTAAAAATTTTAATCCTGATGAATTACGCTGTAATTATGCACATCTTTAACGCTTTTGGTTTTGGAGTTTATACGTGGCACTAACTTTAATAAAATGTTGGACGAGGACTTGGTATCAGTGAATTTGTTTTTTTTTCCCCCCAAATTATGCTTTCCCAGATGAATGATGCCTACTGTGGAGGCTTAGGAACAATCACATATGTTTAATTAAATAAAGAAATGTAATTAAACTTATTTTCCACTTGAGTCATGTTGAGTCTAGAGCCACTGTAGCTCAGGTCTCCAACATGAAATCAGTTTCTCTAATCTAATAAGTCAATGAATTCACCCACTTCATTTGATTATACAGAAAATCGTTAACATCCTGGAACATGGGGTCAATTGAGAAGTGAGTGTGCCGGAAATCTATCTTTTTTTTTTTGGTCTCACTGCCGGTGCAGGCACTCAGTGTGTGTGTGTGTGTGTGTGTGTGCGCGCGCGCGCGTGTTTGCTGTATAGCTTAAAAAAGCAGAGAGCGAGTCGTAGACCAGGGGAACTTTGATCAAATCAGTCTTGAAATGGGGGTCTGTCTAAACCAAAAGCAGATGAGAGGGATCGGCTTACATTGGCTGAGACTCGACTTGCAGCTCAGACTGTGTTTTCACATGTGTATCTCCATAAAGCCTCTGCATGCAAGTTTTTGTCGTTTGAAAATGCTGCATCTATAGATTTTCTATCTCTTTAAAAAACAAAAAAACTCACCCAAAAGGAGTCCTTGTGTGGTTAATGCACTAATTACCGCAACGTGCACGCCTGTGGTAATTAGAGTTTTCAGGAGTGTGTTGCTTGTATTTGGGGGGGGGGGGGGGGGAGAAAAAAGGTTTGTTTTATTTTTTTTCCTTTTAAAAATGCTGGG